TTCACAATGCTTTTTTTCTGCTTCTGAAAGTGTTTCTCAATTCTCATTCTAGCTCTTCCTCATTAGGACAGTGGGATGTGAAAAATGGACAGTTCTCTGAGCCTACAGCCAGGCCCCAGAGGAGAGGGGTGTTTCTGCCACTCCACTTCCCCCAGGCCAAACTGCACTGCTGTCAAAGCTAAGTGCCCTTGGTAAGACTGAGCTGTGTGATGTGCTGGCAGCAGTACCTGGGGTGTGCTGGCTGGCACAGCTGTTGCTCACAGCTGTAGCAGGTGGCTGCAGGTGTGCAAGACTGGCAGAAGCTTTGTCGTAGCTCTTTCTGTGAGGTGTCCTATTCCGAGTTGTCATCTGGTGGTGACCACGGGGTGTTCTGGGTGTCTGGTGTCCAGCTGATGGTGAGTCTGCTGCTTTGTGACCTGTTACCTTGAGATCGGTGCTCTCCAGGGAAATGTCCCAAAGTTCAGGATCATCTAGAATGAATGAGAAAGTGACCCATGCCAACAGTGTTGTACTACAGGAGTGGCAGTAACTCCAAGACCAGCACACTCTTTTCCTACAAGTGGTGGCCACGAAAATTTAATCTGTAAAACATCTTTTCTGTCAGTGTGCAGCAGGGAAACAGTACTGCCCCTTGTGCTCTGCACTTGAGCCATGTCCACGTGGGACCCGAACAGCCACAGCTGGATTAACACCTCCCTCCCCAGTGTTGTGTTTCTGTGCAGTACAGCCTCAGGAAAAGGGTTTACCAAAGAGGTATGAGAGCTTTACTGCAAAGCCTAAGTGTGAAACTCCTCATAGTGATGGCCACAGTCTCCCTGCCTCTCAAGCAAGGTTTGTGTTGTTAAGGTCACATTCACACCTCTGTTATTCCAATTCTTCAGAACTTTTACATTTTATTCTGGAGAGCTTATTTCAGTGCTAATGATTCAATACTCTATTATCACCTTTTTTTGTCTAACCTGCAAAGAACTCTTCTATTGCTAGCTCCTGCTGTACTGCTGCTGGAGTGCTGTGCTTCATGGGAGGGTCGGGAACTGCTGGAAGAAGGGAACACAAGAAGAGATTACTATCAGCAACACAGACGAACCCTTTGCTCCTTAACAGAGCCTAAGTCTGAATGTAACCAGCAGCTGCCACCGGGTACCCTGTTTTTTCCTGGAGATTGTTATGATTTGGTAGCAGGGTATGGAATAGGTAAGATTCTGCACCTGATGACATCTGACAAGAGCAACTGTGCTACTTTACAGTGGCTTTTTAGCCTGCTTCCCCCATCTCCAGGATCTTGCTTATCACACAGCTGTCCAGACTTCCCCATGGGTAAAGGGCAATGTGTTAGTAGCTAATGCAGGGTCTGTTTGCCTGCAGCTACTGCAGCCTCAGCTCGGGAGGTTAATGGTACTGACAGCAGCTGCTTCAGGGTGGCTAGAAAGCTGCAGTTTTAATGATGCAGGTTTAGACTTGATATTGCTGACACTTAAGAGAACATAGAGGAAGAGAAAACATGATAACCCTCCTTCCTTTGGCCTCAGAGGTGTGTTGATAGCCCATGAAGCTGGGAGGCTCCTGCACTGAGGGGAACGTGTGCCTGCCAGCAGCTACTCTGCAGACTGTTGGGTTTCCATGCCACAGCTCACCCTGTTTGCTGCTGGGAGCAGCTCCTGGAACCTGAGGCTTTTTCTCCATTTGCTCCCGAAACTGTTGCTGTAGCTGCTTCTGTCGCAATTTCCGCTGGTAAGTGGCATCACATTCACTGGCCAAGGAGTCTGTGCTTCTGTCTCTCCCCATGAGAAAGCAGAGTTAAAACAGCATTTCAGCAATGCTATTTTATGAAGAGAAGAAGTCATTAAGAAATGACAGTAAGGAAAGTGCAAGTTTAGTGGATTTTCTGGCATCAATCCACCTTGGACTGTCCATGTGCTTTGAAAGGTACAGTAACTTCTTATACAGCTTAGAAAATCCATTTATAATAGCAGTCTCACCTGGGACTGTTTGGCTGTTTCTGATCCACTGTCACCACAGCAGCCTCTGTCTGACCAGGCTTACAGTTAGATGTCACCTCACAGTGCTGTCTCCCTGCTATGTTCTGCCTTCCCAAACAGCTATAGTATCTTGCTTCCTCTATTTCAGGCTCATAGTCCTGTCTTTTAGCTTTGACCAAATCTAACTCAGGGGGAGCCTAGTAAAGGAGAAAAAAGAAAACATATTCAGAAATGTCCTTAATCAAGTTAACGAAGTAAGTGCAGGTTGTTTCTATATAGTACTGTTGAAAAATATACATATTGCTTGTTCTAGGTGGAACACTAAATTAGGAAACTGAAATGCATTTTCAGTATGCCATTCAGTCAGTCATTGAATTCATGTGACTTTGTGTTAGTTCAGTTGTTCAGTGCCTTGAGGCAGATAGTCCCTGTGCCCCCACACTGCTTTGCTGTGAGACCAGGTGCAGTTTTACAGCTCCTCAGAGTCCCACGAGGCTGTTAGCTATGCCAGTTCTGTTTCTATGCTTGTGTTAAAAGTCACAGCAAACCTTTACTCACTTCTGCAACCATGACACCACAGAGGAAGGTAGACCATTCC